CCCTGGATTTCCGTCCCGGTAGTCCCCAAATTAAAACACGCAGCAACAACACAAGTAATACTCAATTAAGCTCAATTTCGTACCAAGTAAACAGATAATTCTAACCTAACATGCTTCACATAATGCAATTAAGGCAGTTTCAGCAAAAAAGCAATTAAACATGTTTTTCTAAGCTAACAACAGGTTTAAATTACAAGTAGTATAAAACAGGAAAAAGGAACACAATTGAAATTACTTAAAGAAACCCAGATTTTCAACAATTCGCTCAAGTACTCACTCGTCACCTCACGTACAAGGCATTTCAGTTATCAAATATATACCAAACCCTAAGGGGAAGGCCCCCCACATAAGGTTAGGCAAGCCACTTACCTCGAACCAGCTCAAATCAATCTGAAACCACGCTCTTGCCACGAGTACTCAACTCCAAATGGAACAAATCTATTCAATTCAATTTCATAATGTAAGTAACACTTCAAGTAACTGATTCTACAAAGAAATTTTAAGCTAATACGCGAAATTAGATAAAATGACCAAAACGCACCTTGGGCCCACATCTCGGAATCAGGTAAAATTTACATTTCCAAAATCCTCACACTCTCACGAGTTCAGTCATACCAAAAGTACTAAAATCGGACCTCAAATGGTCCCTCAAATCATCAGTCAAAGGTCTCTAATTAGTCAAGCCCTAACCCCCAAATTACCAGTAATTTTCCTTAAATTTCATATTTATAATGATAAATATCACCTCAATAATGAGTTTAGGTTCCAAGAATCTTACCTCCTCGAAGTTCCCTTGAATTCCCTCTCAAAAACCTCCCCAAAAGCTCACTTCCCGGATGAAAATGGTGAAAGAATAGCTCAAATTCGCGAATGCAACTATTTATATGTTCTATCCAGCAATCCCGCATTTGCGGTCCACCCATCGCATCTGCGATACCGCTTCTGTGATTCTCACTTAAAACCTCTCTGCCGCACCTGTGACCCAGAATCCGCATCTGCGGTCTCGCAGGTGCGGTACATATGCCGCTTCTACGGTTATTGTCCCCTTCCTCATCTGCTGCTTCTGCGGGAGTCGCACCTGCGGCCTCTTAACCTCAGATGCGGTTATGACGGCAGTCATAGATTCAGCTGCAACTCCAAACTCCAAATCCTTCCGTCAACCATCCGAAATTATCCCGGGGCCCTCGGGACCTCAACCAAAAGCACAAACAAGTCTAATACCCCTGCCCAAACTTATACCAATCCTTAAAATACTTAAAACAACATCGAAACGACGAATCAACCACGAATTCAAGTCTAAGAACTCCAAAACTCTAAAAATACGCTATCAACCCTCGTCTGAATGACCTGAAATTTTTGCACACACGTCACACTCAACACTACGGAGCTACTCCAACTTCCGGAATTCCATTCTGACCCTCGGATCAAAATCTCACTATCAAACCGGAAACTTCAAAATTCGACTTCGGCATTTCAAGCCTAAATTAGCTACGGACCTCCAAAATACAATACGAACACGTCCCTATTCCCCAAATCACCCAACGGAGCCAACGGAACCATCGGAATTCTATTCCGAGTCTGTTTTGACTACGGTCAAATTTCCAACACTTAAACTCTCATTTAGGGACTAAGTGTCCCAAAACTCTCTGAAACTCAAAACCGAACATCCCGGCAAATCAAAATAGCATAAATAAACACAGAGAAAGCAGTTAATAGGGGATCGGGGCGTAAATTCTTAAGACGACCGGCCGGATCGTCACAGAACGTCTCTATGATCAACAATACGTTTTACTTTAACTAAATTAATTTGATAAAAGTAATTATGACTTTGAAAAATCAAGAAGGCGTTAATTAATATTTTCCCATATCTATCCTTGATCCAGTAAATGATTCATAAAATATGAGGATATAGAAAGAGTAATTTAAGAAGATATAAAGGATAATTTAGTTAAATAACACTTCTAAGTAAAATTTTGTATTATCAATACCATGGGAAGCATGTGCTATCCCTTACTCTCTCTCTCTCTCTCTCTCTNCCCTACCCTAGGTAGAGAGGTTGTTTCCGATAGAAACTCGGCATCCTTCCCTCCAAGAACTACCCACCTTGCTCTTGGGGTGACTCGAACTCACAATATCTTGATTGGATGTGGAGGGTGTTTACCATCAAAGCAATCCCCTCTTGTCACTATATATATATATAAGCAATAAGTCAAAAAACCGATGAAAATGCATGGTTTTAAAACTCTTATGAACCAGCTCATCTCAATAAGTGATTGTTCGAGATTTACAAAGACGGGAGCTTTGTTACTCTCAACTCCTCATCACCTAAAACCAGTTTCACACAAAAATAAAAGCGTCGGGTTTTTTTTTAATTAAAAAGATTAAGCAATTCTTATGTGTATGAGGCAAGAAGTACAAAACTCGCAATTGCTTTGTGGCAAATGCAACTTTAGGACGAACAGTAATTTTGACATTGAGCATATATGTAGTGTATATATGTGTTTGTCAGAAAGCATCCACTAATATAGTATATCTCAATGAACGTTATGTCGAAATTCATTATTCTAAAAGTATAATAAGTTATGTACTAGAATTTTAAAAGTTAGAACCTATCAAGTTTAAATTCTAATCCCTTTTTATATACAAATAATTGGTGCATTCAACACGGATTTGGGAGTAAGTGGCGGATCTAGTGCATAGTTTATGAGTTCCTCGGAACCCAGTAACTTTTGTGCAGATCGTATTTCTATTAAGAAGTCCACTAACTATCTATAAAAATTTTACTGTGAACCCATTTACTATACTTGAAATCGATGTAGGAATCCATAAAGTTTAAATCTTAAATCCGTTTCCATTGGTCGTAAGGTTCTTAAAGCATGAGGTGATGGATAGAGTTGGAGTATGTACTAGTACTGTAGTATATTCACATGTTACAGGATTTTGTGTTGATATGAACTCTAGCTCTCATTGCACTGCATGTGCATGCACAAATTCAGCAAACAACCACCAATATGCTTCATATTTACTCCTATATCTGATCTGATTCAATTAATTTCTGGTACAGCTGCTTAGCATTTAATTTGCACTTGAATTATAACCCATCTATTCTAGTATATATTCTCATTCGAATTTAACTTAGAACCGAAATATTTTGATACAGCAATAGTTTTGTTACAGATAAGTATGGCAGTGCCGCTAAATTAATTATAGTATATATACTATTCTTTTCTTTGTTAATATATTAATACCTGGATATCCTGAATTCCTGATATAGTTATATATATATGCAGTGATGGCTCTATTTTGTTGAATACGAACTTAAAAAAATGCAAAACATATAAAGAAACAAATGAGATTGAAATAATTAAATTCACAAAGTAGGGTCCCAAGTGCAGAAAATGTCTATTCATCCTGTGGACACGTAACAGAAAAAACAAAAAAAAAATTACAAAAAATAAATAAAAGGATGGGAAAAGATATGTCTGTGCGTCATGTATAATGTGACCCATAAGTTCTATTAGTATTTTATATTATCCGGCCTTCAAATTGCCTTCTTTTTTTTTCTTTCTTTTTTTTATGTATTCTAATCCAGGACGCTAATTAAGGTATGCTTCAGGTGCTCCCAAAATATTTTGGTGCACTGCCTGGTACTAATTTAAGAGCTGTACAAAATCAATATGGTCAGTGAAAGCTGCTTGCAATTTTAATAAGTTAAAAAGCATATTTTGATTAATTGCTACTTTTTCTAGCTATTTACTTATTAATATCATACCTTCATTGGACGCAATTGATTACCAGTTTTTTAAACGATTTCTTCTCAAACTTAAATTGCATATTGAACATATATGGAATGAATCTTACACTATTACACCAGACTTAGAAGCAACGAAGTAAACGACATCAAGTTTAATAATTTAATTTGCTCATGAAATACGTAGAAAGTTATTTCAGAAATTCCAGACGTATTCTTTTTCTTATCCGTAGAAGCATCCCGTTTCAGAACTTTGGCCGCTCAAGGCCTATTACACGTTTGGAATTATAGGTTCGTAATTTTATATTTGTTGAAACTTAAATAATTTGTAAATAGATATATACACTCTGATATCTCTATAAAAAATATTGTGTTTGGTTGAACCCATAGCAAGAAGAGAACATCCGCCTCTATCACACATGTGACATATACTTTATATAATCGTTTCACTCAACATGAGATAGTTAAAATGTGCTTTGAGGATGGCATTGGATAAAAAAATCGAACAAAATGGATTTCCTTGGTGTTATTCGCTTACACTTATAATTCAGATAAATATAGCAGTATCAATTGTTCGATTGTTTGTAATGAAATAGATTCAGATTATCGAGCCAGTAGATCTGCAACAGTACAACTAATAAGCATTGCCTTTGTTATTCTGCAATTTATCTTTCATTAAAAGAAAACGAAAATAATAAACTTCAATATTAGAATAAACGTACTTTAAAATTCATAGCAATGATGCACTTTCAAAGCAAGAAAAATAGAAATACACCCATCACTCAGTTTATTTTGTGAATTATTCTCTCGTGCTCGCCCTTGTTGATTGCAGCTAATTTGAACAGAATATTTGTCCCAACATATCTAGATGAGTTTATATTTAAAATGAAGAGCAAGTCTTCTCCAGATCAAACATAAAATAGTATACTATTTCTTGAATTAGTAATTTGATAATAATCTTAGCTTTAGTTTGGAGATTCGCTATAATCCTCCATTCTGATTGGTTCTAAAGAGCTTCACAGCCCAAAATGGACAAGGAACGATGCAGACACCAAAGACTCAAGCAGAAACTTGTTCTGCTACTATAATAATCGAGGGGACTATCGACTATTGGTTTGGGGTGTAATGGGCATGGATGCCCGGTATCTGTGTTGATATGACCTGGCAAGTACCCGGGGAATAGTCGAGGTGCCTGAAGATACCAGCTTTTATACAAAATTAAAAAATGAAAAAGTGAGATGTGGCCTCATAGTTTCTTCAATTAACATTAACAAGCCACGGTAGGTGTCAAAGAAATATGGAGTCATCTACTCTTGGACACTGAAAGATGGCAGCAATTTTGCCCCATAAGCTCAATAGAAAATAGAGTACCGCCCAACATATAAGAGATAGTAATAATTCAAGCTTCAGCTGTTTTAAGATCGACCCTAGGTACGTTATATACAATGGCTACATGTGTATAAGTAGATGAAAAATAGGACAAGATCCACAAAGGTAATCCATCCACCAATGTTTTTAGAAAATTAATAGCGAGCTGCTGATTCAACCAGATCTTTGTAATCATCAGAGATGTAAGACTCCACTTTTACAGATCCCTTTCCTGGAGATAGGTATTTCACCCCAACTAGCTTCAGACCTGCAACAGAAACACATAGTTTACATTAAATCTGCTGTTTTTTCCCTCAGATTAAATAGAGAAACTGCCAGTCAAAAGATGAGTTCATTGTGTTTGGTATAAACACAGTTTAGAATAGCCACAGAGTATACACTACTATACTATGCTTTCCCTGGACAGTTACAGTAGAAATAATGTCCAAAAGATGCTGGCTGATGTTGGCTACTGATAATCAGTTTAGAGAAACTTCAATTCTGTGGACCCTATATGGAATTCAGCAAGTGGGCTGATATATGAAATACGTCTAATATATTATCTCAATGATGAATTTCAAGCAAGAAACTCTTAAGGGTTAAATTAGCCAATTTCTTTCGACTCGAGTTTTTACATTATTCTAAGCTAGTAGAAGGTCCCCAACTAGAAGAGACTTAACTAAGTAACTAAACACATCCCTCAACTGAAATCTCCTAAACTGAAATGATTAGTTTCTAATTACTTCAAACTTGTGTGGACAATTTATGGGATTATACGAAATATGTCAACCATATAATCCCAGTGATGATTTTGAAGCACGAAAATAGTAAGGCTCAAATTACCTAGTTTCTTGCGATTCAAGTTCCTAAAACTAGTTTGAGCAAGTAGGTCACCAACTAGAAGAGCCTTAACGAAGTTAATCTCCAACTGGAAGAGACACAACTAAATTACTCCCAAAAAAAATTTAAGACTTAGATTCTGATACCCTAACTTGCATACTCTATCAGATATGTGTCAACCTTTTTTTCTCTTTTGATAGGTTATCAGACATGTAAGTAACCTAGTTACCATGTTTCTCTAGACTTTTTGTACATATTTTCTTTCCCTGTCTTGTTGAATTCTACGCAAGACGTGCACATGTCACCACCTACCTCTCCAATAGGTCGTAAGTTTGATAAACATCCCAGCTGGAGGACAAGAAAATCTCTTCCAGTAGTTACCTACTTACCTTCCCAAGACTATAAGTATGACGTCTAGCATGGCGCAGGCTAGCTCCCTCCCTCCCTCTCTCTCAAACCAAAAAAAAAAACTAGATTAAGAATCAAACTGAATTATCACTTGAGTCTAACAAATGAATCCAAATTGAAGAAAGAAAAAACAAAAACCAGCAAAGTAACAATAGTATACAATTTACAAGAAAATACTCACTATCATTAATCCATCCATATAATAACCTTTCGCCTTTCCAATATTCCAAAGGCCTTGTCTTCATTCGTTTGCTTCGTCTAACCCCATCTTGAAATGACGTGCCAGCATCTGTCGAATTCATGAAATTCTTTATATAACAAACAAAATCAAGAGTTCTAACAAACACATGCGCATAGGTGCAAGAGTAAACACCTGCTAGACTTGGCCTAGAACGAAGAGCTTTACTTTCACGCCTTCCGCCAGCAGGTCGTTTTGCTTTCGGTTGTTTATCTTTTGCCTAAAGCATCAGAAATGTTGTATCACACATCAATGTACTCACTACAGCTAAAGAAATACACTGCAGAGAACACATGCACATACATGTAAACCTAGTAGTAGAAATCGTGGGCTAAAGATTCTGTAGTGTTACTTGATACCATTCAATATCCACGGTCATATCAGAATTATTGTCGCTTACACAAATTGGTTGTCAAAATTTTACACTGATAATATCCTAAGGGTCATTCCAGTAGACAACTTAAAATGTCCAACCCCCGGACAGAAATCAACACATTTGGTATAAATTAGATCAGTAGCGTTATTGCATTTTAAGAGAATCAGATATCATGGCTATCAAAAGCAGTTAATGCTTGTGTTACACTGGGGAATTGCTACATGTTGTTGCACAAACCATCTCCACCAATAGTGTTTATTCATCTGCAGATTTGTTGACGCACAAGCACTAAAGCGTTACACTCTTTCTATATGACAGGTTCCAATTGGAGGAGTCAAATGATTCTTCCTTTGACTTTGATTTTTTCAGAGCTTTTAATAATAAAAAGAACCAATGCGTAACTCCACAGCTCCACGCAGAAATGTAGATATTTTGAACCCTTATAATTCAAAATCCACCAATTTGTTAGGACAGGGAGGATATATGAACTTCTCTGAAGAAGTGTGTCTACTCTTGTGATCCAAAAAATTACTTTTCCGAGAAAAATGGGCAAATCCACCAAAGGACATTGCGTTTTGAGTTTGCTGGTAAAATAAAAAGGAGTACTGAAGAAAGGAAACAACCTTGGCATGATGCTGAGGGCTCATATCTGGCAATTTAGATCTGACTTCTGTAGAATGGACTTCAACTGCAACTGAGCTCAATTGATCTGTAAAAATATATCTAGTTTCTCAACTTCTTACCAAATATCAGATTGTTATTACTAGTTACGATAAACAAAGTAGCATGGCTCAAACCACTAGCTATCAAATTCAAGAAAGACTACATAAATTTAGAAAGTACAGGCACTTTATCAGTGGAAGTCGTCGGAGGTGAAACCCAAGTTTATTTGCTTGAAAAGGAAACTATGATTACTTAATAACATAAAGAGTGATGAAAGCTCGACAAACCTTTGAAAAGAAAAAAAGGAAAAAGGTGATCAATGTGAGAATGATTTTAGCAGCTGCAGGTTATATTTGGAGGCGGCAGGTTACTAATTTAGAAGTCTGTAAAGCAAGCGCAACTATAAGCTGGGTTAAGTGGAAGAGCTGACCGACTCTAAACAGCAGGATCCTTTTGGTTGCTAAAATGCATAAACAATTGACAAGTTCACTACAACCATATTTATGTATCTCACATCTCACCTGCAGCTACAGAAACTAGAAAAGTACCTAAAGAGAAATGGCACCAAACATCTAGAAAACCAATTCGTGAAGTTCAAACAAGTCCTTGTCAGTACAAGAAACAAGATCTAAATCCTGCAAGATATTTTAGCATCTAAATGGGAAAGATTTGACTCGTGACTCAAGCTTTATTGGTTGAAAAAAGGAAAATAAGGAAGTCAATACTAAAAGAAATTGGGAGAAAAGGAGCAAGAGAGAGTTGCATAATCACCAACAAGTATAAAGTCTGAAGATTAAAATAGATTTAGCCAATCTTTGAGGATGCAGATTCTGTGCAAATATGACTACAGAGATGATGCAAATTCAAACATAGTGTTGGTTCGTAATAACTTTTCAGGTCGCGCAACCAGGCTCATATTATTACGGCGCGTAGTATTCTTTTCTTTCAACATGTGCAATTTAAGATATTTACTGCTTGTCGTACAAAATAAATGGCATTAGAGAAATAGCGGTCATGGGGTTTGACAAACCTTTCAATTTCTTGACAATATTGAAGTAGGAAGTGGAATCAAGGATTACTTCCAATTCAAACTTTAAACTATACTATAGGTATCACTGTGCGATATGAACACCATACACTATTTGCAGATAATTTACTGTGACCATCCCAAGTACTTCACTAGTGAAGCATTAAAGAAACCTCAATGCTTTTTAACCATGATACAACACTTCTAAATAGAATTCAAAAGCAAAAGGTATCACTATGTGACATAACATCTTATGCTATCAGTACAAGGGTTACTTTAATCATCCCAAGTGCTTTGCTAGTGAAACATTATAGAAACCTTAATTTTCTCATACAATATAGCATCAATACATCAATAACTTAGCATGCATCGCTATCAAACTTATGTCTTGTTAATTAGAAACTAGAACCTGATATGATGCTCAAAGATAGAAACGAAGTGCAAACATAGTAGAGAAATCTTGTTATTTTTGGTATATTTTCAACAGCGATGATTGGATCTTTCGCAAGAGAACCATATCTTTTTGTAAGGTTCTCTATATGGTATACAACTTGTGTGCGGGGTTATCCCAAACTTTTCAATAAGACTACCACCTTTGCAAAATTTAAAAAATAAAAAAAATGAAGTTCAAAAGTCATGATTCTTGACAACCATAAGTTTCAAATTCTCCATATCAAGTCTGTAAAGATGCATCACATGCATCTTCCCATTGGAAAAAGGGAGATGAAAAGGAAAAGAAAAGAAAAAGTTATAAGAGATCGTCTCAAAGCAACCTAAGGTATTGCATCTCATTGCAGTACAATTTTTGGCAAACATGGGAAGTTATTTGTTTCCTAGTACTAAATTTCCAATACTTCATACCTCAATCTGTATCCTGTAGCTCACCAATCAAATGTTCAGTTTCCAAAACCATGCATCACCCAGTAAGAGTTGGACATTCAAGTGGGTCAAAAAACAGAAAGTTGACTACCGATGATTCCATGGAAAACTCAAGCGATGTGTTAAACGCAAAAAAGACGGAGATTATTCTGAAAGACATGCAAAAACTTGGCTATACGAAAGAATCTACATAGGAAACAGACAAGCTCAAATGTAGCATCTTCAGAAATAATGAAGTTGACGTGAAATAAGAAATCATTTAAAAAAGAATCTTACCACTAGTTACATCTTTGACAGAATCCTCAAAGTGGTGATCTTGTTCTGCAGAATTTGCTCTTTGTGGTGGCATATCGTCAACCTGATATTGATGTATGAATGAAAAATAGACTTGAAATTGTAACTCCTGGAATGATGTATCAAATGTAGTATAATGGCAAAAAGCGGATAGTCTTGCCTGCCCATCAATTTCAAATGATCCAAAATCCGCAGCAACTGTTTCAACGGAACAATTGTGTGTATCATCAGCTTCTCCTTGTGCTTGAGGAGAAGATAGTGTTTCTGCAAGCACTTCTCCGTCCTGCATCTTTTGACAGCTAAAGTAAGATTCAGTCTCAAGCCCTTGCTGATCCTTCGAAACATCATTTACAACTGAAACATCTTTCACTTTATCAAGCGCATCAGACTCGTAGTGGGAATCCATATTTCTCATATTCAAGTTGATGTCAGTATTGATCTCAATATCATAACCATTTTCTAGCTCCTCTCCAGATTGAGATCCATTTGACCCAGTTTTTACATTATCTTTGCCTGAATCGTTTTCCATCAACTGCTCATGTGAAAAGTCTGAACCACTTAAAGGAACCATAATATTCGTATCGTCAGAACCAGCAATGTTTTCTGTCTCGCCATGGGATTCAGTAGGTCCAGCATTATTACTTATACATTGCGGGTTCATCTTCATAGACCAACCTGGTGGATGGTCTGATTGTGAATCATTGTTATACAGATCAATGTTTAGAGGCGAAAAAGGATCTCTCAGTGGATTTGACCGAAAAATTTTCTGTTTTAACAAAGACAATGAAGCATGTGGACTTTTTGGCGGAGTGGGTGATGCTAAATTATTGGTGGGACTTTCTTCATGTTGTCTGCGAGTGGAAGCAGTTCCCTCAGTTGCACTTTTAACAAGATCCCGTATGTCCTGTGAAAACTTCCAAGGCTTCCGAATCCTCTCTCCAAAAGCCTTACCATCTACTTTCCCAGTCATAGGGAACTCAGGAATACATAAGGGGCCTAGTTCAATTGGCTTGATCCCCAACCGCTCCTGCAAATTGGATAATGCCATCTCCCCAATTAGATCTTCGCCATTACTAGACAATAATTCATTCAAAATACCATTGATTTCTGTTTTCTCTAGTGACCCTGTCAAATTGAAACCCAATCATCATCTCTGAAATACACTCCTTCTATAAGGAAAAAGGATGGCATCTCTGAAATACATTTTGTTCATAGAGAAGTTAAAAATAGAATATAGAAATCAAAAGGTATCTCTCTTGATTAGTTAAAACCACTAACCTGGAGAATCTGCTTCTTGTAGTTCAACATTGAGGCCAGGAAGCTCTTCTGGCAACTGAGAATTCTGGCAAGCCCGAGTATCACTCCCCAATGTCTTTTGAGATGATATAAATGCATCATCATTCTCAGACTGGATGGATGAGAAGCGGTGCTTGTACCTCACCGATTTGCTGAGACAGAAAGAGTAAAACTTTAAACAAGTGCAACAGCAAGTTGAGAGGATGATCATAAGGTAAGATAGGTATTTCCATGTTAAAACACATAGAGTGACTAAATATACTTCAAGATGCCTGGTCGACGACGGCGTGCATTGGCGGGTGGATCATTCACATCGTCATTGATACTGATGCCTTTCAGTCTCTTCAGTTCCTTTTCAGCTTCTGTAAATTGACCATGTGTAAAATGATTATTCTCTTTCTCCAAGTATACAACAACAACAACAACAACAACAACAACAACAACAACAACAACAACAACAACTCAGTATAATCCCACTTAGTGGGGTCTGGGGAGGGTAGTGTGTACGCAGACCTTACCTCTACCCTGTGGTAGAGAGGCTGTTTCCAAATAGACCCCCGGCATCCTTCCCGCCAAGAACTTCCCACTTTGCTCTTGGGGAGACTCGAACTCACAACCTCTTGGTTGGAAGTGGAGGTTTCTCCAAGTATAATAGACTGTTTTTAGTTGCAGACGTGATCAACACTCAATCAAATATTCAACAAACAGCGAAAGATAAAAATATTACCTTCCCACCTTTCAGCAGCTGCAAAAAAATCCACTGGATCTTCCAGTTGATCCATGTCTAAAGACTCTAATGTAGAACCCAATATGACAGGAGGAGGTTGACTGCAAAAGCATAGCAAGATATGCCAAGAACGTCATTTCAAGAGGATCTAATTTGAGAATAAACGAAACAATATCTATAATTTACCTTGTACTAGGCTTGAAAGAAAACCGAGGCTTTCTGCGACCAAGGCCTGGTCTTCTCTCTTTGGGCTGCTCCTTGCCCTTCATGGCAAGATCCCCATCAACGCCCATACATTTTGTGTTCAAAAGTTCCGCAGCATTATCAACAATGGCCCTGGCCTCTTCAAAGAGCTTCGCAGAACTCTTAGTTTCCTTTTATGATCATAATAATGAAGGAACAAAACTTTATGAACATGACATCATTCAAAAATCAACTAACCAAACCAAATCAATGAAAATCAAATGGACAAATTACACTATTTATGTTGTCACATACAACCACCAAGAGAAATCCAGGTTTCTCATAGTCGGTCAAATACTAAAACATAGACAAAAAATAAATAAATAAATAAAGTCGTGAAAATTTCCAGGCTGAAGGTATACGCAGTCACAGGCGAAAAAGTGAATTTGTAAATTTTGCATATAGTACAAAGTGAACTATACTAATTTTAAGTTGAAGTTGGAGTTCGCACAAACGAATTGAAGAATAGTGAAATGAATTGTAACGATATTATCACTTTAAATTAACTGATCAGATCTGTAATAGAGCTAGAACTAGTATATAGTATATAAAGGAAGGAGAAAACAAAAGAGTTACCAAGGATTTCATGAAATTATGAACTGACTCGAGGTTTTTAGGGTCTACTGATACATCTGTGCAAACCCTAATTGTTTTGGGGAATAGAGAGAGGCCGACGAGGCCGTGGAGAGGATCCACCGGACCGGACGTCGGTGCTTCGTTCGCCATTTTCTCACAAGGAGTAGCGGAAGTTTCAGGAACCTGAAAAAGGAGATGAGTGCTTCTTCGCGTGAGTATTATGTGAAGTAAATGATAATTTTTTAAAAAAATTTAAATTTTTTTTTTTTAAGTTTTGAAAATGAGGTCTGAGCGGGGTTGATCGGGGACGAGAACGACTGACGAGGGATGAAATATAGGAGAATTTCACATAATAGGCTCCCCATTTCTTAATTTTATAGCTCATATTTTAATTTACAATCAACTAACCCAAAAATAAATAGGCTAACATTTAACATTCAAGTCCAATATATTCTCAAAATTACCATTTAATTTTTAAAAAAGATTGCTCAAGTTTTTAAGTTAATTTTCAAATCAGTAACTGTGACTCAAATATTAGTTCAACAAACCAAATCCATTTGGGTTCTGAAAATTAGATTTTTAACAAGCTTAAATATGTGGGTTTAAATTCCGAATTTAATTTTGTGAGAAATTTAGAGTGGGTGTATTTAGACTTGTTAGAAATAGTATAAGGAGGTTGTATATAAAATTTGAAGTTATTTAATGGAGATTTGGACTGGTTTTGAACAAAAATTGCAACTGGAAATCATCGAAGAAGTTCGTCTACACACGTTTGTATAAAGGTGTATAAAAGTGTATAATAGTGTATAAGATGTGTTTATACACTATTATACAAGATTATACATAATTATACAAAAAACTAACTTCGTCTTCTTCCTTGCGTTTTTTCTGAAATTTAACTCAAATCTTGCTCAAATCTACTCCAAATCACTTCAAATTTAAACTTTGAACTCCTTTTGATATTTTCAATCAATTGGAACAACACCCAATACAAACAACTAAGAATTACAAGAAATTCTATTTTCTAAAGCAAAGATTTGAATGGCCTTTAATGGTGGACTTCTACTCTTTAATTTTTTTGCATTGCAACCAGGTGATATAGTGGGAGAAGCAGTAATGGAGGATGGCCCCTTGAAGCATATGTAAAAAATGTGAGAAGAAGAGAGTGAAAATAATGGTTGTGAGAACACATATTTAACTCCATAGCTTTTAGAAGCAATGGTTGTAAGAACACAGATTTTGAATTTGCAAGAGCTAGTATTTTTGAAATATGTACAATATGGGCTAAGTGGGGTGAAACTTAAAAACATATGCCATTTTTTGTTATGGTGTGAATTTATGTGTATTTTCTTGTAATTCTTTCTGAAATATATGAGCCCGTTAGGACATAAAAAAATACAAAAAAATATTTGCTTTTTTCCAAAAAAAAAAATCTTTTTTCACAATCAACATTTATTCATACAATTTTTACTTGAATATACATTTTAGAAATTTTTAAAAAATTTAAAAACTCCAAAAAACTATTTTTCAAAATTTCCACTCACAAAACTTCAAAAACAACTCAAAATCATATTCATGTCCAAAAGAGAGCCAACATAAATTTTTTTTTATAATACTAGTAGATATATTATAAACTAGATTACGTTCAGTTGGTTACAGATAGTAAAAAAATAACCACACACTGGTGGATTGTCACATGCAATACATTGATTGCCTAAGGTTCTTAGCCTATTACATGCATCAGTAGATAAAGTTTTACAAAAAGATAGGCTCCATTTTCTTCCAAAGACAGCTGATTCATCACAAAAGGGGGAGGTGTTGCATGGAGTTTTGGATACTGAGGGAAGAGCTACTTGTAGTTTTCCTTTGCGGCGTCCTTTGCAAGCATGTGCACCACTTGATTGCCTTCCCGTAAATTATGTCGTAATAGGAGGTCCTTCTGGTGGTGCATTAATGATCTGCAAGCAAAAACAAGATTAGAAAAAACTAAATGGTCTTATTGTATCGCCATGATTGCTTCAGTTGAGTCGGTCTCCACTTTCGGCGGAAAAAGGTTGTATTTCTTTGCAATTTGTAGCCCTTCGTGAATTGTTTGTAGCTCTGTATGAAGAGGAGAAGTAGTTGTGTGTTGCATTTGGAAGCCAAGGATCCACTTACCGTGTGATTTCTGATCACACCTCCAACACCAGATTTTTGTGCGTCAACTTTGTATGCACCATCAGTGTTTAGTTTCTACTAGTGTTTTAGGGGTTTATGCCAACTTATATTACCAGACATTTTTAGTTGAGTTGGGCCACCCTTTGTGCTTAGGAAATTATATTCAGAAGCTTGGCCCATCAAAGTTGTTGGTTTTGGGAGGAAGTTTGTGTTGTTGAAGTTATTCTTGTTCCTGTTAGTCCAGATTCCCCATATAATAAAGGGAAGAAGATTACCCCATTCCATAGTTGACGAGATGGTTATTGTGTTCAAATCTTTTAGGTTGATCAGCCAATGATTATGTCCAACGATATTTTGGACGTTGATGCCTAAGGATTTCCAGATGTTCACAACTTTAGGGCATAACACGAAGATGTGTATAATATCTTCTTTATTTGTTCGACATATAGTGCATTGAGGATCAATATTAATACCAATGTAGTGAAGATACTGACGAGTAGGAATTCTATTGTGGAGGCATTCCCAAAGGAGGAATTTTATTTTATTCGGGCAATATAACTGCCATATCCAACTGAAATCGTGTGTTGCTGGGTTAGTGTTGTTGATTAATTGATAGTAGTTTTGGTGGTGAATTGGCCATTGTTATTAAGGCTCCATATTGGCTTGTCACAGATTCCATAACTAAGGGTAGGGGTGTACATAGGTCGGGTTGGTTCGAATTTTGTAATTACCAAACCAAACCAATTGTAAGGGGTTATTAAATCTAAAGACCAAACCAAATCAATAAAACTCGGGTTTTTCAATCTTGGGTTGGTAATTCGGATTTTTTCGGGTTTTTTCCGGTAAAATCTTCATAGCACAAAATATATAACTTGTGCTCAAACTATTTCTTTAATCCTAGTAAGATACAACTATATAAGGTATTTTTCAAGAAAATAATACAAAATATGAGATGTGTCATGGCATTATCCTAAAATATTCAACAATAAAGACAATAAAATTATGTAATATAAATATTGTTAATTATAAAAAATAAACATAATCTAGAAGTACTAAATCACGTTAAAATAAGCAAATTAATAAGGGAGTATTAGTTACATGACTAAACGCTAAAGAAAAAATAAAAATAGGTTATGCATTTTTATATAAATTATTGCAAAACAAAAAATAAATATTCAATACATTGTCATTCGTAGTATTGAATTGAATGTCATTTGTTAGCATTAGTATCGATTTGATTTTGGTTTGGACTTTTGTTAGCATTATTTAAGTTACTAATATTAATGGCTATAAAACTTATTGGAACATTCAAAAGTTCTAAGTCCAACTTTGAAATGATACTTTAAAAGATAAAATTATGAAAAAGTTTAAAAAATATTTATAAAATACATCACAATAAGTATATTTATATATTAAATATATTTAAAAAATTTATATATGTAATGTCGGGTTGGTTTGGTTTCGGTTTGACTTTCTTTAGTTAAAACCAAACCAAACCAATTATGGTCGGGTTTTTTTCTCTAACACTAAACCAAATCAAACCAAACCATAGTCCGATTACTTGAAAAACCAAGATATTTGCCAAATGATTTGCTAATCTTGATGTTAAAGCCATTTGCAATGTCTCTGGCCATAGTTATAGGACAATTATTGGAGAAGATTTTTTTATTTTTGAAGGTTGATTTTTTGTCCTGATAACTCGCAAAAGGATTTTAAGCAGTTTTCAATTAGTTTTATAATTTTTAAATCTTCTCTAGCCATAAGGGTAAGGTCATCGGCAAAAAATAAATGGGATACGCCCATGTCCTTGTTGTTAAGTGAATTGGATCCCACATACAAGTATCCACTCGATTGAGAATTGTTTGGAATAACATTTCCATACATAAAATGAAGATGTAGGGGGAGAGAGGGCATCATTGTCTAATGCCCCTACTAGGACAAAAGAATTTAGTTGTTGTACCATTGATTATGATAGCAATCTGACTAGTACATATGCAATTCATTATTAAGCCTTTCATCCTCGGTGGAAAGTTGAAATAGGTTAGTAGAGCCAACATAAATTAGTTGTTCTTCTTTCTTTGCACATGCCCCCAAAAAATGGTTAAACACCTCTCACTCATCCATGATTTTCTTCCATCTCTATTTTGATCCTCGACACCGCTAGTAATAAATTTCACAAACAGAGGGGTTGTTTGGTACGTTGTATAGGAGAATTAATCAGTGCATAAAAATTTGTATTGAGTTTATATTGCGTTTGGTTGTGTTTGATAAATTTGAATAAATAATCCATATATTATTAGGTACAACAATTCAAGTATAAATTTATACGTAGACTTGTGTGGAATACCTCTGTCACGACTCTAACCCCGAACCCGGTCGTGATGGCCCCTCTCGTGAAGACAAGGCCAGCCAGTTTGATCCAAAATTACCCTTTACACAGTTAATCAACACAATTATAGTCTACACATGGTTTAAATAATACTGAATAACGGAAATATAGATAACAATGCGGAAATCCAGCCCGACACAACCCTAACCAGGGTGTCACAAGTCACGAGCATCTACGAGTCATAATACAAGTCTGCTAGATCCAATAACTAGTACAATGTTCGATAGGAATAGAAATGACAAGATAATGGAGACACGGGGCTGCGGACATCAACAACTACCTCGTAATCCCTGAAAGCCGCCTGGAACTGGAGGAATCAGCACTCATGAGTGGAAACCAGCAACACCTGAATCTGCACACACGGTGCAAGGAGTAATGTGAGTAATCCGACCCAGTGAGTAACAAATATAAATAATGATTGAAAGTAAGGAATCACGTAAAACACAAGGCACATACTGAAGTAGTAAAATCACTTAAAACAGTAAAACAGTGAAAATTCAAGTGAAAATCCCTTTCTCAACAAGTAAAATAAGTAATTGACAGGTAAGTAAATAAATAGAAATTTGCCCCTCGTGCACAGTATTAACAAATCCGCCCCTCGGACAACATCTCAGAACAGTACCAGCTACTCGGGCTCAAATCTCAGAACAATACCAGCCCCTCGGGCTCAATCTCACATCACAATGAGTAC